CTTTAGTGTTAATGATTTAAATTAAAGAGAATTCAGCGAAGGTAATTTTCTTTTTGACGAAATTATTTATTCAAATTGTACATTAGTACCCATAATTTTGTGGTAAATACATGTCTATAGATGGATTAAAACGATTGCATCATAAATCTTTTTTATTATGCTGTATTTATTTGAACACATAAACATTGGTACAAATGAGTATCAAATACATATGAGCCACACAATAGTAATCAGAATGTGAAGAGATAAAGAATGAAAAGTGCGTATAAAAGAGGAGGACGATAACGGACAAAACTTTATGTACGATGGTGAAATAATAATAATGGGAGAGACAATTCAGTTCGCAAAGGTACAAGCAGAAAGAATTTTTTCAGTTGAAAAAGTTACGTTCACAATTTATGAAGAAAGTAAAAGAAAGTTACATCATGACCACCACTGGCTTCTATTCTGAATCATATCTGATAACGCCATTGATCTCGTCACTCATGCCACCACCAGCACACACGTAGCCAACCAGATAGGCGATTTTCATGACTACTCGTATTTGCTCGCTACTCAAGCCGAGTGCGGGTTCAGAGTCCCTCTAGTGCTTACTGTATGGCTTGAGTGTCATGGCACAGTGAGACAATACCAAAGCATACTCACCGCCACCATTACCTACATCCATCGGAACCGTGTCCAAAACGTCATCGATAACAAAGTTGAGGAGGACTGATGAGAGTGGGCAACCCTGCCCAAACCCACTGCCTGAATGAAGCAATGGAGAGATGTGGTTGTGTCCCCTCACTCTGTCCGAAGTGTTTGTATATAGGGTTTTCAATTTGTTAGTAAACTTCTTAGACACATCCTTTTTCAACTGACAATCCAAGATAACACTCCTGTCCAATGAATCATGTCAAAAACACTATGATTTTCGGCCTGTAGTAGTTATGATAGTATTTTAATATTTAGCGGAGAGTGATCAATATATCCTCGACCAGAACGAAAGCTAGCCTCCTCCTCGTGAGTAAATCTTTCTCGAGTCTTAAACGATCCACGAAGTAGTACTGAAGCCAATAGTTCGGACGCAATCGGAAGTAGACTTATCCCGCGATAGTTGTTGCAGGAAAGACGTGAACCATTTATGAAAGATGGGGACAACTATCGGGGTTGAGTCATCTGGGCCTGATGATTTGTTACGCCTCAAAAGTTGCCGGAAACAGATGCTGTTTCAACTTGTTAGAACGCTTCAAACACCAGAATCCTCGGTCCCTACGCAAGCTTAGTTTGATGTAGCCCTTTGTGACTGATACCTGAAGTGAAATATCCTTTCATGTTACCCAAGTACTGCCGTTACTTTGATGGCCGTTCAGAGCAAGCTTGACCTTTTCGAAGAAATGTGTCAGTAAGAAAAGATTGTCGAAACAGAATGTGACCACTGATGCATGAGCCAGTCCATAAAGATAAATTTGATTAATCCATGTTAGTTATCCTTGACCTGGACAACGTTCGGTAGTCTGTTTAACCATCAACGATCTGTCGTCTAAGATAGGAACGGTTCAGGATGATGAATATTTCGTCAGGGACGGAGTGACAGTTGATAGGCTCTTCATGAGTAATATATACAATCTTTATTATATTTGAACTTGAGGACAATGGACAAAGAGATTAGGTGCTAATCGGTATGCAGGTGTTTTTGAATATATATTTAAATGATTGAATTACCCAGCATGTTTAGTGGTAGTAAACGACAGAAGTGAAATAAGACCGACTAGAGGCAAGTGAACAAAAACAATAGTGGCATTGAAAGAACACAACAATTAAAATTTTTTATCATTGAATCAGATTTGTATCGGCACTAGAACTCAGAGTAACCAGCAGTTGTATCGCAATGGAAAAAACAAGCGTAATAGAATATCTGGGACTGCGTTAGACTGATCTAACCTAGATTTTATACAAATGATTTCTCACTGCCTAGAGTGTCAATTAGTCTACATATCTCAAGTATTTATACATCAATATATAAGTGGAAGACGACTAACAGACAGATAGACAAACAGGCTACCTAACAAAGAAATATTGGAAGGATTTATATACGGGACATTCGAGCTCATCACACGACTGGGTACAAATTATCCAAGACAGTTGGTTAATGCTTTTGACTGGCATCTGCTCAGTCAGATATCGTCACTTGAAGTGAGGTACAGCTATGTACATTTTACATGTCTGTATTAAAAACCATATATTTAAATGGATGTTCCCCAACTTCACCTGTGCGTTAAATTACTAAAATAGGAAACAGTCGTTAAAATACTAAGCTTATCTTCCTAAAAGTTTTGTTGTAGTGATTTAATAATGGTTTATTTGTTGGTCATCTATTATACTTGATTGTAACTTCCAATACATACACCTCAAGCTAACTTTCCTATGGTAAAACTCAAGCTAAGAATATTTATTTTAAGGATAACCTTTTGTATGGTTGATCTTACACCGTGAAGGGAGGCGGCTGTTCCAAATCTAGGCGTCACGTTAGAAATATGGTGTTAGACTATGATTCAGATGTATCTGACGGCAGTGCTCCAATTGGTAAGCTGTATTTATTTCCAAGTGTAAAACGACATACAGGAGAAGAAAGGGACGAATCTTCTGATCTCAACTCGTCCAGTGATGGTGAGGAACGAAATCGTGTAACACAGAGGAATATTTTTGGAGATGATACTGGTTAGATAGTCTTGTTATATATCTCCATTCAATTGTAAAGATAGTGATAACGAAACACAACCAAAGCATAAACAATCACGGTTTAAACAAGTAAGATTCATCGTGTGCATATCAGTTTATCGATTGTGGCTCATAATCTTTTTCCCTAGAAATGAATTAATAATTAGGTAGACGTCAAGAGACTTGACTAAGCATTTGTGATGGAACTTAGGGCAGTCGATCTAGGCTTATATTTTAGCTCTGTCGAGATATACACCACTGTCAACCTCTTTTCGCTCATTATTTTGTTTCTGCAAAACATTCACACTAATTCCAAAATCTTAAGGTACACTTAGGATATTCTAATTGCTCTAAACGCTCTTTTAAAGTCTTCTGATATTAGTTCACTCGTATTTATCGTACCAATCTTCCCAGTGATGTTGGGAAGTACGATTGATCAAAATCTGATCAGAATTCAAAAAACGAACGATGATGAAGTTGTGAGATCAGTGATCAGAATAAATACGCTTAAAATGGGTCGAGAGGGATAATGTGATTACAATCTCTGCACCCAGTGGAATACAAATGAATAATCCTTCTTAGTGTCGAAATGATTAGCATTCGGTGTTAATTGGAATCTGTTTATAGATCAATTAAAATTTCGGAGTCAGTAATACGAATAAATACATATATCATAGAATGAGAGGAGTAAATCTAATGTTCACTCGAAGATTGCGTAATAAATCATTTGATATGGATTAAGTAAGAAATGGTAAATTGAATCGAGTGTTACTTAAATTCCTCACTTATTCACAAGATTAGTAATAATAAAAATAAGGAAAGATGTGCGAATGGTAGTAATAATCATAAGTGGATTAGATGAACGCAAGTTATAAAACTATGGAGGAGGGAGTTCTCTTTCATTAGTCCACCCGAGAATCATACCTCCTTTAGGAATTAATTTTAAGAGGTGTGTAATCTCAAAAACCCTCTCTTCACCATCTAAACCGTATTACGAATCAATTAAACTACAATCAGGCTTACTACTTTTTGTACACTACGCTTGTAACTACAACATGTTCAAGTGACATTCACACTAATTTCAACATCTTAAGGCACACTTAAGACATTATAATTTCTCTAAACGTACATTTAAAGTCCTCTAGTATTAAAATTGCTATATTTCAGTAATACGTGTCACATTATTGCTGTGAAAATGCCTGCGTAGTATTATTTCGTTCCTATACAAATAACTATTCGTGAACGTGTGGGATTTACTAGACAGCAAAAATAATAAACACTACATAATTCTTTATGCAGCCTTTACACTTACTAGATCTTTAACGCTACACATAATTCCAACACTACTTAATAGGTCAGCTTCTTTTATACGTGTCTGTATCATGAAATAACGCATATTTGTCACTCAGCTTATTTTATATTTGATACAGACGGGCATTATCCTGGTAATTGAAGTATTCCTTAAGCTACATGTTCGAACGCCATTCCATCTACTTTGGTTTGAACGCTAATCTCCATGAAATTTTATATTAACTAATAATTGGGACTTGAATCATGGTAGTTAGTATCATCCTTAATCTTTAAAACTGAACATGAATATACTACGGGGGTATAGCTACTGATCTCTTCAAAGTATAGCTTGAGTTCGATATGACCAACCATAAACGTTAAGACGTAAGTTAGTTTATAGGTATTCTAATGTATATGTAATTTTACAACCCATATATTGCACATTTGTAGCTAAGGTTTCCCTTAGTAATATACAAAACTTTAAGTGCAGTCTGTCTAAAACCAGGATTTACGTCTGTATTGGTTTGAGCCTCATAGGTTAGAGTAGAATTTCTAAACAGTCTTATAGACATCTGAACCGCACATCATATACTACACAAATACGTGGATATTTTCTGTTTATACCAACTTGATTGGCAGGATGTTTTTGTTTCCGATTCAAAAATCCATTTAGTCTGAATGTTTAAAAATCTACATTTTTAACTGTCACAGGATAGTTTCGAAGAATCAGACCACGAAAATCAGCTTGATGACAACGCTTCGGAACAGCAGGAAACAGAAAACGAATCAGATAACTCACCTAGCCAAAATTCTTTGAAAAGAAGACTTCAAGATATCCGATCGTCTTCTAGTAGTCCCAATGATAATGGATCTCGGCAAGATGATGGTAGTGAAACGGGTGATAATGGGTCACAATTAGATGATATGGCCAATTCTAATGATAATGAAGGTCATAGAAGTAATGCTGACGATCTAGAGGGTGATTTGGCTCATGAACCGGACGAAACAAGAATATCTGTTGATTTTCCACTGATTCGTGCAGATTTAGGCAGGTATGGATTTTTTGACATTAAAAACTAATTAAATATAATGTAACTGTAGTAGAGTACTTTCTAAGAATAAACAGAATTGTCACTTTTGGTGTTTTCGTTGTATAGTGATGGAAATTAATTATTTCTTCAGTTGATTGTAATCGTAATGACCTTAGCTGAATTTTTGAATAAACATAAACATCAATTATCCAAAACTACTAATTTTTAATGCCACATAATGTAAACTTACACATGCAATCTAAAATCATCCAAAAGATATTTCAGTCGTCAATAAATATTTAAAACTAGCTAACGTGGCTCTAAATCGGTTGCAGTAGTGTAGATCCATCTTTAATTCTAAGCTTCAATATTATCCCGTACTCTTTGTTTCTCAGATTCTTTCTTAAAGATTTTTATACCTTATTTTTAGTCATTTTTGTGATTATAGTGAATACAACTATTACCCCTTCGCCGTTTATCTTGCTAATTTAACTTCTGCTCTAATGTGATGTATCAACCAATGCACGTTTTCTCCAGGCCTTACGTTATGGCTGACTGACTATGTTTCATGCCTCAAAATTAATCACAGTGACCCATTCGCATTCACTCTTCATTTTCCCTTAAATTCTGTTTATTATGGTTCCGCTCATGATATTCCTTGATTTTATCGGATCCTTTTGGGTTGTACTTGTGTTCAACTAGTGACGACGCTACAAAATTGAAAACTTAGGATGAGCCGTATGTAATCGGTCTTAAATACCTGTTTCTTGGGTTTTATAGCAAGGTTACCAGGTTGGTAAAACCATCATTAGTAACGTAGTTTTTTCTTCTAGTCCATCAGAAAGTAGTATGTTTTTTACGCAATAGAAGTTGTGACCGGATATTAAAAGTAGTTGACTTAGAACCATTGATGCAAAAACTGAAACTTCATTGAGTCTAATTCGGTGTGGCTTTTCAGGTAGGATTACTAGTCTCCGCAAAATTACTTACTTACTTACGCCTGTTACTCCCAATGGAGCATAGGCCGCCGACCAGCATTCTCCAACCCACTCTGTCCTGGGCCTTCATTTCAAGTTCCATCCAATTCTTGTTCATTTTTCTCATATCTATCTCCATTTCTCGGCGTAATGTATTCTTTGGTCTTCCTCTCTTCCTTCGACCTTGAGGGTTCCATATGAGGGCTTATCTTGTGACGCAGTTCGGTGCTTTCCTCAATGTGTGTCCTATCCACTTCCAGCGCTTCTTCCTGATTTCGCTAAAAAAACGCTAACCAGAAAAAATTATTCAAACCATTTAAAACGCTCCGCAAAATTAGTTAGACTAAACCGATTCTCGGTAATTTATGAATTCCAGACAAAATAACAGGGAAATATAGGCTTTCCGGATGTCTTCTACAGAACTCAAATTCTTCCAGATCGTCGACCTTCCTTTTGTAGATTTTCCCAAAAGAATCAGTCAGATTCAAGTCTTCACGGATGAATTGACCCATTTTATGAGGACGCACCAAAATTCTTTTGATAAATCAGCTCAGACACAATAACCTTTAAGATCTTGATCTCTATAATTATTTGATGTTTAACTGGAGCTTGAGGATACCAGGCCAGAGAAAATCAGGTAGATATCAGATGGGACCGCAAATGAATCGATGGAGTAATAACTCTAATAAAGGCATACTTTCTGATGTTAAGCTGTAACTGAATTCTTTGACCTAAAGCCACAATCTATTTCGGTAAATAAATGCAACTTACTCTTAGATATGAGTTATTAGTTAGCACTTGGTAATTTTAGTCGTAATTTAGGGATTTATTATCTCGAAAAACTTCTTGCTCTTATTATGGGAGAGACCAGTCACTTGTAAAAGTATTTCGGAAAAATGTTAAGTGAAAAATAATTATTTTTTACACATGCTGAATTTCTTTATATTATCTGACTTTATTTTTAATGATCCTTGTGAATAAAAAGTAAAAACCTCATCCAACGAGCAGATCATGTTTACATCAAAACTAAATATATTTGGTTTTCTATTAGGGAGGTACATTTGGTAAAAATGCCTAATTTTTTGTCAGTTGAAACTCGTCCGTTCGACCCCAACTTTTACGAAGATGAACTGGATGAAGATGAAATTTTAGATGAAGAAGGACGGACACGTTTGAAACTAAAAGTATGGTTCCTTTTGTTAACTCTATAAACCATTATTTTGATGGATTTCTTCCTCAACTTCGCATATGTAAATACGACTCATTTAACAGTATCAATCTGTTAAGATATTTTACTTATTTTTTAAGACAGTCAGTCAGTGCTGTTAGAGGTATGGTGGCGGTTATCACTTCCTGGTTGCCCACACCGTTGAAGGGTTCTTCTGGAGGTACCTGAAAAGGAACATGAGTTAGAGGTGGTGTTAGTGACTTGAGAGCGTGCTCAAGGGACAACTGCTTGTGGTCGATCACACACGACCTTTTTTGAGTAATTTTTTTGTTAGCTCCGTACTTGTTGAGACCTTACCGCCGGAGACGGATATCCGTGGGATAAGGTGAGGTGTGCATTTTTAGGGTCGACCTCTAACCCCACCCTCCTCATGGGAAGGCAGCATCGCTGTAATGCTAGTTGTCTGAAGGAAACACCTTACTGCTGTCACAAATCTGTACAGTCAGCAGTACGACTTCGCCTTCGGACCTTGGGTTTGTTGCTTTTAGTCTTACCGTTCTTCAACCGACCTGTCTGGCATGGTAGGACTTAGAGGAACGGTTGTTCCAGCTAGTATAGCTGGATTGCCTCATCACGATAGGCAAGCCCGACCACCACGTCAAGGTAGCAACAATCGATCGAGTTTTAAGACAGTGGTGTACTAAGATCAGTATGATTTGTATCATTTAGGTAGAACAGCTCATAATGTGCGATATGTAAGGTCTAAGTTTGGAGTACGGAAGATATGATATACTCAATAATTAGGTCTTAGTGGTTTTTAGTAAATACGAATGTCAATAGCCATATCACACAATTTCAGTGAATTAAATTGACTTTGAATCAACACCTGATCGTAAAACTGATAAATCCCTCTCTAAAGTGTTAAGTCTTAGAATTTTTATCTAACATTCTCGAATAAGCAAAGTATAACCTCTGCTTACAAAGTATAATTTGTTACTATGTTTTCATCTCATTATATAAAGTGTAAGTCAACAACAAAAGCTCTGTCATATTATCTTATTTATGTGTTCATTTTTATACTGAAACAAATCGTATTAACTTACTACTTTACTGCATTTGGAAATTTGATAGGATTTCCATCCAAGCATACCTATGTCTGCAACTACATGAGTGTGTTTTAATAGAGATCTTTTAATAATTTAGGTCGAAAATACTATACGTTGGAGGATCGGTAAAACACCTGATGGTGAAATGATTCACGAATCAAATGCTCGTATTGTTCGTTGGTCGGATGGTTCTCTGTCACTACATCTTGGAGACGAAATTTTCGACATACACAAAGTAGATATTCAGTCAGACTATAATTATCTGTTCATACGAGAAGGTAGTGGTTTACAAGGACAGTCAAGTCTAAAAACCAAATTAACATTCAGGTTTGTGTGTATTAGTATACTTCGTTCTTCTACTTTGAATTAATCATATTTTTGGACACCGACAAAAAGGATCCTTATTGGTTTTATCTTTTCAAAATTTGACTTAAGAATTTATGACGCGTTTGCTATCGGTCAGTGCAAATGGCTTTTGCCTTAATAAGAAGGCTGAAGTTGCTCATCTATGGTGGGAGCCCTTTTCTATCTAAGTGACCTCAAGCCACTGACTGCGAGATGGAATGCTACTACCGACTACGAATTCTGAACCAGCCCTTCTGAAACCACGTGTGCCATTCAAACCGGTTTTCTTCGACGTTAACACACTAATGCAGGCCGTCTGGTTTTGCTGACGCTGGCGTCACACTAAGTGCTAGAGCTGAGGCAGCACTGATTGACTGGATTCCCATTAACATTCGTTTATTTGATGTCAGATTAGAAATCCCCAACATGGTGAGAAGAAATTGCTATGAGAAACGATGTCTTCTCGTTATCTACCTCTAAATGGCAACATATTGTAGCGCGACTGTAACAAAGGATAAGTTCTACCACTGGTTAAAGGTTCTTCCACAGGAAGTGCATTCGAAAGATATTAAGGTACCATCCGGAGACTTGAATGCACAAATCGGGTGTCTAGGCACAGAATAAGGTCATTTGGGTGGCTGATGTGGTCTTGTTGGTCGCAAGTCAAATAACAATGACCATCTACTGCAGCTCTGCGTAGACTACAACCTGTTTCTGGTTAGCACTAACTATCAGCACAGTCATCGCCGATGTGCCACCTAGCGTCATCCCTCTTCATCTCAAGCCTGGCCTCAGTTTGGTTACATGGCAATCAGCTACCACTGGCGTTGTTGTGCACAAGACCGATGCTCCTTTTGGAGTACCTGTCTAAACTCTGATTATTCCCTTGTTTTTTACTAATCCTACCTTACTTTTCAGTGGCCAACAAGTTCATCTCCTTAGGCGGATCGACGCCACCAAATGCTCTGGTACGATCGAGAGTGGGGAGAGTCAGCTCTCCTTCTCGAAATGCTCCCACATGGCCACGTGCATGCAATCACTGTCAGGGAAGTCCTACTTACTGTCTTCTTGTGGTGAGGGTATTGTTTACAAAATTGAGAGGAGGGAAAGCCAATATCCGGAGCCTTAACTGGGTTGGTGGATATGGCGAATCCACCTAGGGGAGTTGGAAAACTGTGATTTTAAGCCAATGATGCACATAGAATCCAATATCGTAAGGGAACAAATGACGTATAAACTTATTGTTGGTCACCGACTACCATGGGACTGCATCTCCTTACGTTACTCCACTGCCTTGTGGATTAGACCTCTAGGTCAAAGGCTCGGGGTGTGGCCCTCTGCTTCGGTTAGGGCGCCCGTGCAGTATCCCATTCCTCACACAAGTCGAGTGGTTTATGTGGCGCATATCTGTTTGGCGCCTTGTATTAATGTTTGTGTGTTTAAATAAATAAATAAATAGATCGATGTCAGCAAATTGGTTGCAGCTTCTGTTGCAACGAAATATCAAACCGAGCTAGGTTCAAGACTAGCTATCAACCCATCGAGAAGTATAGATGAGCATTGGCTGTTATTCTATAGTGCTATGAAAATGGTGAAGAAAGTCGCTTTTAGCTTTACGAAAGTAGTAGTATAAGTAATGGCTTACACTAAGTCATGAAACGTCAGAAAATCTAGTTTTTCTACTCATCGGGGTATTACAAATATATTATTTTATTTATAACAATCTACCCAATGCTCAGTTTATTCGGAATTATGAAGTTTCTATTCGTTTTTATTATTTTTTTATCATACCCACTTTTCTTTTTTCTTCATAACTTCACTTTTATTGTGTCGCGTATATATATTCTGGTGCCTCATTGTACTAATGCTTAGGTGTTAAAATAAATAAATTAATTAAAAAGAATCCAACACTTCAATATATTAAAAAACACTTTTTCTCAGATCAACGTATTTTAAAACTGTCGCGTTCTATGAGCTGAATAGTTTAATTGCAAAGCTTTCACTGTCGTTCTGCACAAACAGAAGTAACCACTGATATTGTGCACTAAAGCTCCTGACTATTCTATGGATAAGCTGTTTTTTGATACTTCATCTCATTGATAGTCTAACTTATCAAACACTAAATATATAAAATTTACTCGTTATAAAAACAGTTTACCTCCTTACTCTTAGCTTGTTCTTTAACTTTCTAACCGTAATATAAAAAAGCCAATTAGTTGAGTCTACACGAAGTGACCTCTTCCTTTACACAATAACAAAGTATGCCAATATGTAAAGTTTTTTTTAGTATGACAGACAACTAATGTGTTGAGCCAAAAAAAATTGAAACAATTATCTGATGTTTAGTTTATTTCTCCTATCCGGCTAATGATATTTAATGAAAATAGGTAATAATTTAATCATAACAGAGATGGATTTTAAATTAGATACATTATTGTGCAGCTTGGACTAAAATTTTCTTATTTATTAACTTTATTTTATGATTGAAATAAACTTGTCAATGTATATATATATATATATATTTACAACATATAGGCCACATTCAACCGATTCATTTACACATCGTAAAATCACATTATCATTAGCAGATAAGACAAATAAACTACAAAAGGTTAGTTTACTTATAATTTATAAAGTTATTGCCTGTTTATGAAACTCAGTTAATTTAATTGGCTTGAAACTCATTTTATTGTAGTAGCTGTTTATGATATCTGTTAAAGTTTCATATGGATATACCATTTATTATAGATCCTTTTTATCTTTGCTTGCATATTTTAAGTTTAAAAATTGTGATTTATAATCGAATGTTGTTAGTTGAAATTCTTTTTTGATGTTATTCGAATTTGGATGGTAATGACATACAAGGGCCAAGTTTTGTAACATTTAGGCTTCGCCAATTGTGTAGATTTCCATTTAGAATTTCCGTGTTTCCACTGAAGCCTATATGCAACACCCATTGATTCAAACCCGAGGGTTATCTTATAGGTTATTTAATCGCTCTGGCCAACTGATATGCGAATTGTATTGGATTTCCATAACTTAATGCATCCTATTATCAATGTACTAGACAAAATTGGTTAGCCACTGTTTTCATAGAGCATTTTTTACGACCCTTTAATTTTTCATGAGATTACTTATTACTATCAGGATTCAGGTTACACTGTCCTCGAGAATTCTAAATAAAATAAGACTTGATATCTACATTTTATTGTTAGAAATTACCAGACAGTGTCTTAATTTTGTTCACATCGATTTTCATATATCAATAGAAAGAATGTAAATACTAACAATGGTGAACTACACGTACTTCAGTTTTAACATCTGAGTATTTTTATTCCTTAAATAATCACTATCAAAATATAATCTAATAATTTGATTAGTGAGTCGGCAGTTTGTTGAGTTATGTGGTAACTTAACCTGATGCAAAATGTACCTTTTTAACCAGTGAAACCTCAGGTTCGGAAACTATTGCACTTCGATTTGGACAACCGAGTAGTATCACTAGCCCTGACAATGAAAGTTTGATTTAAAGCTGTGAATATGAATTTGTATTGGGTGAATGATTTATATGATTATGTGTACTCACACTTAACAAAACATACCTTAATATGTGTCTCAGTTTGGAACAAAAGCCGCAAGGCAGTCTGGAAAAGCAATCGGTGGTTGGAAACAGATTAAAATCGATTTAACTACACAAACCACTAAAATGTATACACGAATCTGTGATATACACTTGTTACTTGAGTGTTGTTTCGGTCACTTATCCGTTTAAACCGTGGTCGATGAATCTCAATCTTAAGCTGTGACGAAAATTCGAAATTTACGGTTAGACTGACAGTATTTCTTTTTCTCGAGTTTAATATGTTTTACACACTTTGTTTTTTCTGCTACTTATTGTGCTTCCAAAGTTCCTTACTCTATATATCATTCCAACTTAGGTCAAAATTCTTCCTGTTACGGGTGCTGATCCAGAATCAAATCGTAATGTGCTTGTGAGGAAAGAGGAAGAGAAATTGCGTGCCACACTAAGGCGCGAAAGTCAGTTACGGCGTATGCGTGAAAAGCAGGCCATGTCAAGAAGTAGTTTTGGTAGTGAACGTAGGCGAAGTTACGGAGAGGATGATGATGAGGATGATGGTAATACAACATCTTTAAATGCATTAAAAAGAAATGCGAAAAACTCATTGTTGGCTGCACGCAAAGGTAAATTGAATTTTAGGATTACTTTGTTGGTATTCTTTATAAAAAATATGTCAACCCATCTATTCGGAGATTTACTTTACTCAGAACACAGGTAAAAATTTCAGAGTGCCTATAAAATGGTGAGTAATCTATATATATATATATATATACGATAGTGTTTATTAATGATCGATTACAAGACTAGGATCACGTTAGGTAAACACGCGTCACTATTGTTCCTGTGATCTCATTCTATTAAATATTCCATTCGCTTAATCTGCATCCTCATTCTCATCACAACAAACAGGCTATATTTTTCATAATGACTGTTTAATATTCCATGCTCTCAATTTTCGGAAGTTTTTCTACTTTTTCTGTCGTAGTGATAGTTTTTATATTCTTTTTCAATAATTTCAGATGTTGCTGCAATTTATTCATCTGATGAGGAATCTCTAAGTGATGTAAGTTTTAATAACTGAAGTAATGTCCTATGATAATATCTACATCTGATTGGTTTAACTTTGAAATATCACATGCAAATATATGTAGAACTTAGTTGTTATTACTGAAGGTAATTTAACATGTAAATAAAATATGATTTTAAACAGATCGAGAAATGGATAGGTCAATTAAAATACCCTCAGTATAGTAATATTAAACTGACTTGGAATAAATTTATACACTGGATATACTAGTTTTAATCACAGAAAAAATTAATTGTTTTATCATTGGAATTTCCATTTCAAATTGCTACTACTTCTTATAATCAATATAACTTTAATCCCACGAGAATTTGTACGTTAGTGCTTCAAACAATTGATCTCCACCTATTTGGTCATTGATTCGAATCTTAGTTCTGATTACCTCATTGTAAAATGTTTCATATTATCCCTAAGCTTTATGTAGTTCGCTAAGCATGTGTATAATTTCAAAGGAGTGTAAATTTCGCGGTTACGTTTGATGTTGTTTTGTGTATATTAGTAAACTGATTAATAGAAATCTTAGTTAAGAAGACGGAAAGAATATTTAGGAATAAAGTTAATGTATTTTTTGTTCTTAACAAGCATTCTGCATCCCAACGAGTGTATTTTATTTTTATTTTTACAGATATCAGAACCTCGATCACGTAAGAAAGTAAGAGCGAAAATAAGTGATGAAGAGGAAAGCGACTAAAATAACATACTTTTCCACTGTTTTCATACGATAAATTGTACATAATCTATTTATTAAAAAAATAAACAATTTTCCTTTATCATAAATTTTCTTTAGATTCTAAGTGGAATACGATGTATCAACATGACTTAGCCTTGTGCAATATATTTGAAAACGTCAATGTTACATACAATAGTTAAGGTTTAGAATAACTTTCACCAGCATTATAGAAAAAAATAATTTCATAAAGTTATAAAATAAGTAATACATAAAGGTGGTTAGAATTTTTTTTAATGAGCCTTCTTTTTGACTACTTCCAACTAAATGACGGAAGCAAATTATTCGATAAAGTTGAAATACAGCCTATCTCGCTGTTGTTTGTCGAGTGATGGGTGTAGTTATTTTAGACAATGCTCATCGTAACTTCAACTTTCACAGCTGTTTTTACTTCCCATTTCATAAAGCGGAATTCCTCCTTTCATCATTTTATTATCCACTCATATTTCCTAACTTTCTTCCGTTTTTATCAATATGTTTAAAATCACTCAGATCCCAGATAATACATCTTAAGCGTCCCCCCCCATTATTTTCATTCTAGTCTTCGTTTTGATGTCAGATAAGCTTAATAACTAAGACGAACAGATACTACGATGACTTTGTATTCACCAATCACGTTAATTACGAAACTTTTTATAAACGTAAGTGTAATTCTTTGTCAATTAGTAGTTTAGTCTTTTAATGAAAGAAATGAAATATTTTCACACTAGTTGTCAACAAGATTTTGCTTAACGGTCGTATGGTAAGTTATAACAGATGATTAAAGTATACAATTACATGTTTGTAAATGCGTTTTGAAAATGCATTGAACAATCAGGATTCCAGGTGGTAAACTCCGAAGTTAATGGTCAGTATATTCATAAAGAGAAGGTAAAAAGAAGAGATATTTTCACTTTCCTTCTAATATCACTTTTTATTGACTGTCTAATGTTAAGAGTTGATTCGTACAAAGCATAACTCTAATAGTCTTGACGCTTTTCGTATTTAGGCAGCCATATTTTTTATTTCCACATTTTTCAATGACGTCAAGAATAATATTTGACACTGCTACAAGACTTGTCAGTTGACAAAGAAATACAATTATAGTCAGATGTCAGAAAGTATCCCTGTGTTCTAAAACCTGATGAAGCGAGTATTTGATCGATTCATTCATGCTCAAGTCTGAAATGATACTGGTTTTCATAAGTTTTTCATTCACAAGCTTGATATATGTGCATGAGTCGGTAGTTAAAAAAATGAGCTCATTAGCAATAGTCGTTGATAATAATGGTGAGCTTATTTTTATCATTCAGTCAAGTCAATTCCATAAATAATTTTACGTGATGAACAGAATTTGTATTACTAGTGATTTGATAAGACAAATCAACTAATATATGTTGTCATTCTATATCAGAGCTGACTAATGGTGTTAATGAAATACTTTAAAGTTGTACTTTTACTCAGTCACTTGATTATTAACCCTTTCCCCTTCAGTTAGTAAAATAAGAGATGAGAGAATAAGGTTAAAAATGCAACTGGACAAACGACAAAGGCAACCAAAAATACACTTCAACAAGTTAAAATGTAAACAAATGGAAGTTGTGCAGATGAACGCCGTCAATAACAAATGATGAACTAGTATATGATCTTGCTTGAATCCCAGTGTCGAACAATGAAATAAACTCAGTTATAATTTTTGTTTGTGTCATCATTTAATAATGCATAGATTATATCATTGATGTCACGAAAAAGAATATCATTTTCTATTGTTATGTTATTATGATTAGCAGTTGAATAGGTAACATCAAAATGATTAGTTACAGTATTTAGAGCATGAGGACCGTACAGAGTACCTGAACTGTTTTTACCTTCAGTTGTGGTCGAATGATGACGTATTTTACTTCCTAGAATTTCGTATTCACTGACTTGGTGTTCTTTATTTTCCATTACATCCAATCGTTTTAAATTAGGTAACGAATCAGATTTAAAGTTTTGAATGTTAATATGCGTTTCTGAAAAATCTTGAGTCATTTCACTGATTTTTGAATTGTCCTTGCCTTCTGATAATGAAATATTAGCCTGAAATAGAAACAATGTGAAATCGTTGGGGTTTATTTTTATTTTAAAACATTGTAGTTACTTATGAAGCGAAATTAACTAGTAGTTAATAGGATGCTATGGCTAATCTTTCGAATGGTATACATATATTATAACAATGATTATAATATTCAGAACTCTAAAAGAAGAAAGGAAGTGAATAGCTAAAAACAGATAAAAGTTTACAATTCACTGTGCACATTAACGTAATGTTTTGTAATAACATGATGATTGCATACTAAATGAATAAAAAAGTCAGCGTTGGTTTAAAATGGAGAGTTATCTCTCATTTCATCAGAGCATTAATATCTATACTCTCTTTTCCGTCAAACTAATTAAACAATGTTACTTTTTATGTAGATAACTTGGGTAGCTCTGATAATTCTGAGTAAATATGTTCTAACTACAACATTTTATGACATCTCAGGAAGTTGTTTATAGCTGCAAATATTCAATAACATTGTATGTAATGAAGGTTGTCTCTACAGTTATCAACTGAGAAGGAATTCTCAATGAAGTATACCGGTCATACTGTGGTGTGTTCTACTTATATCGACATAAGTATAATATAACTCTAGTCAGGGATAGAATGTCTGGCAGCAGATGGTTGAGAAGATCGAGGAGGAAAGAACGGGAACAGAAAGGAATTGGTATGGAAATGCTGGCACAATGGAGTCTGAGACATTTTGCGAAAGAAGTAACGGAGTATGGTTTTTCTAGTTTATCAAGTAACTCGGTAATTTTGTGCTTAACATAATTGGTTGTCCTCACCTGTGTTCTCCTTCGCTACAATACTCTTAAATCGTTCCAGATTTCGTTTTTGGTGTACAAAGCAGTAACATTTTGGGCATATCTCATTTCCACTTCTACTATTGTACCATATAAATGCATTGCATTTTTTTTACCCATCTATCATATAAATATCTAATTATTTAATTTTTTAGTGGTACAAACGTGTAGAAACTTCCATTCGTTTGTCATTGACTGTGATAAAATAATTTCTTTAATATTAATATAATTCATTCACTAGGTATAAGTTTATTTAATTGCCTTTGTATCACACAGTGTGAGGACTAGTGATGTTTATCCGAATAGAAGTAGGTAGAGTGGAGTTCTGTCCTACTATTTCGTAGCTGTAAACTGAGTATTTTAAGCATTAGATTACCGTCCTATATCACTTTTGTTAATAAATAAGCGCGTTACGAAATGTCTTGGACATTATAAAAAGCAATCAAAAACGGTAACTGGATTTTGACTGCTGAATTACGAACGTCTTGGGGCTTACTCACTTTACACGGTTGGTAGACTGACATGGAATCAGTGTTGTTAGTCGTATTTGAAGGGAGATGATATTTCCATATTTCTGTACTTGAACTGTTTATTTGCTTGATTGGATTGTACACACTTGTATTGTTATCGTCTTTGTAAGCTTGAAACGAATACTGTTCGCAGGGTTTGTTGAAATCATTGGTACTTAAAACTTGTGTTAGTTTTGGATTTGTGATTGGGGAATAATTATACATAAAATTATTTTGTTTTACGAAGCTCGTGTTATTTTCTGCAGTGGTACAAACAATTGATCCATATCTATTATTCATAGGCTGTTCATTAATTACCTTCATACCTTTAGGATCGATATTTTGAACGTCATCAACCCGGTTATAAAGTTCTACTGTCACAGGACGAGGACGTGCCCCAACACCGAATGGTTGGCGTAATCCTAGTGCTTTTTCTTCATTGGTCAAAACGCTGATCAAACACTTTAAAACTGCCTACGTTAGATAAAGTAATAATGTATAAATATAATAACGCAAAAAGTTTATCAGTTAAGCAACTTGTAACTTCACAGATATTTTTTGAGAAGCTATGCTCTTAATACACTGTCACATTTATGGTTTGTGGATTTTTAGACCAAACGCAAGGTGATTTCCTTCCCAGTAACTTTCTCCCTTCTTGATGACATTTCTAAATTCAGACTAGATAATAATCAGCCCTCAGCATGAGACTATGTAGCAAACATCTCTTTAACTTAATGGTCTCTCAATAGATCTTAAGACCACAATTATTTTTTGAGGCGTTTCAGCTAATTACTTTACTCAAACACATGACACGATATCTTTTTACATCAAGTTTTAGATCTGTAACGAATATGAGCTCATAAAAATAATTGAATTTATCGAATTTCACTAAACACGTTAGGGCAGGTTGACAGTATAAACTGCAATAAAATAATCTCAATAACTGTAATAACTCATAAGTAAGATTATTTATTTTCCTATGCCAATCACACTATGAGTCTGTAAAACAAAACTTAAACAATGTAATTCTGTGGAAACTAACAAGTTAAATTAATGCAGCAATTTAGACAAGAAATAGTCTGAGTAATAAGGTTATGATTCAATCCCCATAACTTCAAAGTATTTTTCGAAACAGTCTTCTACTGGGTAACCTAAACATGACAAACAAGGATATGAAACAAACACCTGAATTAATTCGATAGCTATAGTGATTGGAAACTGTAGTAGGTTGCTGATTGCTTTACAGAGAATAAGTAGATTAGTAGCACAGATAAAGAACAAGAAATAATATTTGACAGTTGGGTGAAGATTACTGTAGAATCATCCTCAATCCTTTGAACAAAAAGTAGTTTGTTGGTTGTATTTCACATAACAGATTAGTGATTACTGAATCTTGTGAGTTAATTGAAGTTAGGTACACCATAGGATTACCGCTCAGTAGCCAAGTGTTTGTATGTGAGACAAAAGGTCCTGAGTCTGATCCCCAGTAGGGTTGTGGACACACTACTGAGGATTACAATATTAGGACGAAACAGCTATCCAGTCCCTCATAGTTCTAACTGGATATCTAACTTAGATCAGTCAATGATATCAGTAGTACTTGGAAATCTCCACAAACATCTATATCGATAATCAACTAATTAGTATCAAACAATTTTATATTACCTCATCTTGTTGTGAACATTGTTTCCCTGGATTTTTCAAACGACGCAGGAACAAAGCATGCCATTTTTGTCTTAATTCTGTCACCATTAATGCTTCATTTGAATTTACGGTGAATCGGAGAAATTTATATGGGTCTAAATGAAATGATACGATATTATTTTGCCGGTCGATTATTGATGATGGAGAATCCATATTCGGTTGTTCTACTGACGGATGACTAAGCTTAGTCTGTTTTTGTGAAGACAGTGGTTTTACATCATCGAAACAGTCTGAGATTAGCATAGAATTGAAATATTTAAAAATTTTTAGGGCAGAATTATCTAGTTCCGAGCTTTTAAAACTGGAACTTGTGGTATCCGAGTCAGACAACATACTGTGTGGATTTTGATTGATTGTTTTTTGTTGCATGATTTTACGTAGCGTTTTATGTATATTTTGTTGGATGTATGGCGATGTGGCAATCATATTAATTTCTGAAACAGAAATAGAGTTTAAATCTTTTTCCAATCTGTCTTTTGGATTTACACAAGCCTTACCAGAATTACTTTCATTTTTGTTACAACCACCGACTTCTTGTTTTTGAACTGAGTTTTTGCACTCCTGCCTTTGCAGTTCTTTCAAAGGTGTTTTAAGATTCAGGTCTGAAATCATTAAAAAGCCATAAATAAAATTGAATGAAGTTGTTTAATCAGGGTAGTACGCATTGGAAATATATCAAAAAACTTGTTTCGTTTAAATCATCTTTCAATTTGTATCTAAAATTAAACTATTTTCAGAAAACGGATAAATAAATAAAATAAATACAGTGTTCATAATAAGATACGTGCTTGGAAAGAAGATTACTTTTCCCCAATAAGGAAACTGTTTAAACGTTTCAACTCAAGATCGAGTCATCAAGGCTGATAGTTATAATCCAAAGACTAACAAAAACTAGTACTGATGATATAACTCTAATAGAATATTGTTATGTAATATGAATTCACACTGTTCAACACTATCAATGCAGATCAGTCACCGAACAGCCCAATGAGTTTCAAGGACATATTCTGAAGATTCTCATATTTTTTTCAAGTTCTTGTTAAAATTTAATCTCTTCAACGTACCTAGAGGAAAGTAATGCGTCTTATAAAAAATCTAAATATTTTTATAGAAGAGATTAACTACCCAAATATTGGTTACTGAATTAGTTATCTCTAACACAATAATTATGGCGAATTCGGAATTACATAACGAGAAGCATCCACAGGAAAGACCGTTCGTTGTACTCAATATAAATGTTACCGTATCCCTAACCATCCTGCTAGTAAAGGATCTCATTTTTATGAGTAAGTGCGCTAAATATTTAGATATATGAATTCAAAGACAGCTATCAGGTAAGAAAGTAAACTGGCGATGGGTATGTAATTGTACATCAAATTGTGATGTCCTTCCCCATAATATCAGATAAATTCGGCCAATTACTTCGTATTCAACCCAACTAAAAGGTGTTTAAGTGACTGAGTTTGAAATCATTTCCATGGTAGTGTAAAATGAGTGGCTAGTGTAAATTTGTACCCATAGACACTAAACTCCTGTCCGTTTTAGAAACATTTCCTTCATATCACTAAAACAATAATTGATATTTGTTCTGAGCCACGTCTTTACTATTATGTAGAAAATAATGTATTTTACCCATTTATTAAACTTGCTTACTATTTGCAATCGAATGGGTTTCTTTTTCTATCTGTGGACATACTCGAATCGATCCGCCCATTAGCGCTACAGTAATTGGTGAAACGATGCTTACACATCGTATGATCTTTAGTTTCTTTAAGGCCATGTGATCTGCATTTTTAGATTCCAGAGAGGTGTGTAACTTTGGATCAGTTAGAGTAAACACTTCATTAAAAACAAGCCAATCACAAGGTAAATTGTTTACGTTCATTTCTTCTCCATTAGAATTTGTGGCAATCACAGATTGAGGATCAAGCACAACCTAAAATAGTTTTAAAGGTGAAACAGTCGAGTAGATAACAATAGTCACTGTTGTCATGGCAAAAGTTTAAAAAAAAGTAACATACAAAGCTTAATTTGTTGCTATCCTTGTTTAGAACATACCGTTTAAAGATCTTTCTAGATCTGTCTTTTTCATAAAACACATGTATTATGGTAAGCAAGTTAAATGAGTTCAGACAACCTCATTTTTTATCAACCTATGAATCATTTAAGACGATCAGAAGTTTGGGCACTATTTAGTTGACAAACTGCTGGTGTGTTTTAGTTATAATTTGCACATATAGGAGCTTGCTTTATTATTTAAGCAAACAAAACTACATGATATTAAATGGGCTAATGTTTTCGTTGGCTTCAGTTATTCTGTTTAGCGATTTATTGCAAACATTATCCTCTATCATTTTATGGGACACATGTCTATTATTATTCTGATCCGATGGTAATTTTGGTACATGTTTGCAATAACCTTTGATGTTATTTTTGTTGTACCATAGAACAATAAGGTGCGAAATTTAATCTTGGATTACTTTTATGAAACAATCTAATATGAGGGACGGAGCTTGAATTATAAATATCCACTAAAACATAGCGATTGATTCACTGCAAAGCATACAGCCATTTTTATGTCGCATTACTGATTATGTAAGGACTGTAGTTAAATGTTGTCGACACCCCATACAAAAAATTAATTGTAAAACTTACTGGCAATGAATTTCCATTTACTATTCTCAAACAGGAATTCTTCCTATCTACTTGAGCTAAATTTCCATACAAACCAGCTACAATTGCAGCTTTAACAACAGCCCAATTTTCCGAATTACTGTTAAGGTCTCGAATATCTCCACTTCCTTTCGTTTTTACGAAGCCAGAAGCTCTAAGTTGCCCGAGTAGTTGAGTTCTAAGCAGATAGTTTGTAAAAGTCGTGTTAATGAGGTAATTTTTTAGTAATGCCTTTCAGACACTTAATCGAAATTCTACTAAAGATTTCTTAAGGGTGTTTCAAGCTTAAGATGTAAAAATAAATCAATGGAATCATTATCAAAATTTTCGTTTATTAAAAAGATTATGGAATTCACGGTAATTATAGAAGTCAGTAAGAAATTGTGGAGACTGTTGAATATCATTAAAATTATGAGTCGATCTAAGTTAAATTAACATTAAAATTCGACAATCTCTATAACCCCTTACTGACAGTTATCATGTGCTCACCAGTGACTAGCTTCGAGAGAAAATTTCTCGAGTTCTAGTGAGAAGCCGTCACCAGTGGAGCTAATCCGTAAAATTTGTGAGGAAGTTGTCCACCAGAAACAATTGAAGATGGTCGCACAATGTCATGGATTGTTTAAGGTTAGACATTCAGGTCGTTAGAGACAGAACTGGAGTTTTAGGAATTAAGAGTTCACTCGCGAGACTAGAGGTTCTAGATTCGATTTCCACGTGTAGGTTGACGATGCTCACCTTTTAGGTGAGCCGTCCAATGCTTTCAGGTTCTCATTGTTGGTCTGACTTGGGTCATGATTTCAATGAGTTTATAAAAGTATTTAAATGTGTTAACGAAATTAAGAAGCATGTAAACACAAAATCTGCTAGTTTTAAAGAAAAATATTCATGAATGCAATCCTAAGTGTCGTTTAATTAGAGATTTTATTTCACAATGCCAATTTCTGTATTTCAAACATCTCGTACAGTTTATGGTGATTGTTGTTTTTCATTTTGACAATTTACTGTGATGAAAAGCTATTGTTAATCTGTGATATTCAACTGGAAAAAAGATATTTGAATTGAGCTGATGATTGATAATGAAATATAACTTGTTTGTAAGGTTTGATAGTTTTATTCAGCAGTTTGATATTCCAAATTCAACTCCGATTTATAGTGAATTATGACATTTGAGTACTTTTTCTGTCTATCATGAAACGAAACAACTAGGCATGTTAATGTTATTAACACTTGACTGATTGCGTTCCCATTTCATTATCACTACCATTCGTAGTCAGAATTAAAAAAATACCATGATCGTTTTAATTTTTAGTCAGTATATCATGCGTAAAATTCAGTTGTGTAAATTCATTTATGCTAAAATATATGAGGTAAACCCACCGAATAGCGATAATAACCTCGAAAGTTGCAGTAGATATAAAATGTTTTTGACAAAACTCTTTCTCCCATCCTTCTGCGCGAGATTTTTGCCAAAACTGAACGGATAAATTGTTTTTTTAATACTATGTTTAACAATGATAATGTATATACCTGGAAAGCTCTTAGTAACACCATATGGTCACTATAACTGTTTGATGATAAACTTCTTCGAATATTCATCAAATCTCGTCGTTCAGCTGCATTTCTAGGTAGTGTAACTTCAAAAACCGATTGGATAAGAATATGAAAAATTAATTGTTTGTGATAATTTAGACGGAAGAAAAAATTAGTACCAACTTTATAACCAAATTAAAAAACAAATGATGTGTCAGCAATTTGTGGTCAGAAATAAACTACATAGTTTACAGTGAACAGTTTAGAGAAGGTGTATTTAATGAAACGTAGGAAATACCTAATCAACATGATCATCAGTAAATGTGAAGATGATAAAGGTAATTGTTGAAATGACAGCGTGTAATATGAATGCAACAAACTATTTGAATAAGAAACATCTTTTGTAATAATAATATAACGAAATTATAAAAAATGGAAATATTTCTGTAAGCGTGGAAGTAAAATATGATGAAACTTAGGGCATCCAAACAGTTTTTGTAAGCAAAACTTAGGCTCTAAGTTGCAGATGACTAAATCATCTCCAATATCAAATAGGTTGAGACGTGAACTTCTCTAAATATTCGCCTGCAACATGTAAATGATATAAAAGGCTGAGCTTCATTAAATGTGTTTTAGATGTACGGGTTCCAAAATACTTGATATTTGTATTTGTATACCCGAGTATTCGAATATGCTAACATTTAGAAGTAATCAGATGTTTTCTTACGATTCGGTGTACACCTAGCATCAAAACTTCCTAATAAATGTCGGAATTTGTAATGAATATATATATATATATATATATATATATATATATATATATATAGAGAGAGAGAGAGAGAGAGAGAGAGAGAGAAAATTTAATTAAAACTAACAAGTGATACAACGTGATCAATAGTTCTAAAATTTAAACTTACATGGCTCCATGTGCGTCAGTATGCATGCAATTGTAAGAATCGGATCAAGACATTTTAATACAACGCTGAATAGAACCATTTTAGCATAACGAGGTGGTATAGGCATGTCACAAATATGATAACCCAAGTCAGTTAATTCTTCGAAAGTGTCCAATATATCCATTTCCTAATGTTAAGCGACAACGAGAAAACACATGATTTACATATTACTCACTAAAAGGTCTTAGGATTCTAATATTAAAACAGTAATCAGTAATAATAAAACTGGAGTGTGATTTTATTTAGTTTTGTATATGCATAGTTGTAAATGATATCGTGATATGGTTAATATCAAGAGTAACTCAAAGCGACATGTTTGATTTGGTCAGTGGATGACGAAAAATTCAAGTCTTCTGAAAGGTAAGCATTTTTTTATTAGTGGGTACCAACAATCACTACACCTAGGTCTAGAACATTTGGTTTTCCCCCAATGAGATTTCAAATATTCAAGAACAAAACTGCACTTCAAATAATTAATAAACAGAAGAATATATTTAGGGCAATCTGTCTGATATAGTAGTATTTAAGTAAGTTATAAACATATGCGCTAAACGTCACACTCGCAAAAACCTGAAGCACCTAACGTCCACCTCTTAAACTAATTAAAAAGTAACCTAAATGTAAATTCAAGTAACTTATTTTGGATGTTTGTCGACTCTTTTTTGACTTAAAATCACTTACGTTTTTCATTTGCCATTTGATAAATCTTAAGGGGTGGTTTCGGAAGTCTTTAATCTTGAGCCAATTTAAATAGCTCTATGGGAACAGGAAAACATCCAGGAGGATTCATATATATATATATATATATATATATATATATATATATATATATATATATATATATATATAGTCAATTTATTTAACATTTGTTACGAGAATGACGCTTTCCCAAAAACATTTTCTTTGTTCATTGTTGAAAACTTCATTAAACACAATCAACTTTTCAAAATTTTTAAAATTATTTTCATCTAAAGAAAAACATAAATTTTCTGTATCAAGAGATCTTTTAGAAATGTGGTTACTTTTAGAGTTTCAATGGCATTTTCAGAAGATTTAAGTGAAGGTGGTTTCGGCAATGCACTCAGTACTGTTTGTAAGGAAATGTTTGATGATGCAAGTAGTCGGGCTTGAATACACATCTCCTAAAGATGAAAACAAACAAACATTACAAAGTAGCAACTTAGTGTTTACGAAAAATCATGATATAATTAAAGTCTAATGTGAGCTCTTAGTAAGGAAAGGGAAATTTTCGTCAAAAACCTATAGTCAACTGTAGTGATTAGTTGTTTTACCTGTGAAAATAATCGTCTTTCCACTAATTATTTTATTGTCCGAAACCATAAATTAAAGTAGGTAAATTAGCCATTTTCATATACATAATTTTTTAACACAAAACTGTTTCAGGAAATAAATAATAACCACCTATTAATTATTTATTAATTAATTTCGAAGTTTTGCTGTTACAGCCTTTGTTTTCATCAAATTTTATCACTTCAAAAGATTTAGTAAAAAAGACAATATTTGACAAAGCAGCATAACGATAATTCTTTTTCCTTTATTTGTAATAGATAAAATTAAGCCATAAGTGTAGTTACTTTTCATCATTTTATTTTTGATTACTTTTTTCTTTAGTTGAAAATAATCTTAAAGATTTTGAAAAGTTGATTGTGTATAATGAAGTTCGTTTTTGATTATGTTTTGTTCTCTGAGCTGGATGGTTTGGTCGCGGAGCTTTCATCGTTCTTCTGAACGACATCAGCACAAACATCAGATAGAAGTGAATCGTTCGAATTTCTCCATATGTGGTTCACAGCTTGTTCTGTAGACCTCGATGTTAATTGGTTCTTGTTGACTTTAAACCTGTCATTGTTTACTTCTTTGTTTTGGTTGTATCTCCCATCGGTTTGATTTTTGTTCCTATGTCTGTGCATAATTTTCCTGATTGGTTGATAAATTGGATCGATTTCAATGTGCTTGTTGATTTTTGAGTAACCTGAGTACCAAGCTTCTAAAAATTCTATGGTGTTTTTGGAATTTCCTCTATCCAAGATTTCCGCATTTTTCCAGGCAAATGACTGTCCGCAGTTGTTAATACTGTCAGTCGGACCTTCGCTTCACAAAAAGTTTACTCAGTTCTAAACCAAACAACTTGGCAACAATATTACAATTAATTACGATAAATTATCTATTAACATCTGTTTAGCGTTCTTTCAACCTCTTGATGTCATTTTTCATAAATTGATAGTTGAGTGGTAAATTATGTCAACAATAATGTGTCAACTAATTCAAAATGATTAAAATCCCTTAACTAAGTAGACAACCGGTAGAGCCTACGAAAGCTTGCAGATAAAATTTTATGTTGTATATAGCACATTTAGAGACTTTAGTTAAAAATGTAATTAAGATTTAGAAGCATACTTTTACGGGAACAGAGAATGGAATAACTAACAATTTTACACTGATTTAAAGTAACCACTGATGTTGTGAATAATAATAATGAGAGCTTCATAGTTAAATCATTCAGTTTATTTAATACATGATTTCTAAATGTATTTAGTTGAGCTCAACGCTTTCAGAATCGAATGAGATTGACTATTTCTAAAGTTTTATATATTCATTCCAGGTAAAATTCTAATTTATTTAGAACTGATTGGTAAATGTAAGTTGTAAATAATTATATTTGCTAAAATGCTGAATGTACAATTCAAAATGATTAATAAATGATATTAGATCTGTCATTACGTAGATAAATAGCTACCAAAATATCTGTCGGGATTATTCAGATAATTAGGGGTAAATTGCAGTTAAATTTTATTAAATCATTACATCGTGATATCTATTTACCATGACAAAACACATGCTGACACTTTGGTATAAGCATTGCAGTAGCCTTAACGGAAGATCAACTAAATCGTTTGTTGGCAGTAACTTTTTATTGACTGTTAGACATTAGTTTAACTATCTATGCCTCAGAAAATAGATTTAAAGATATCTTTGTGGTAATATTAGATGCATAAGCTTACCTAAGACGTAGAAGTGAACCACCACCGGAAGAAAAAAATATTTTTAATTAGTATTCTATGAGATTCAAATAGACTAAACTTTGGAATCAACTTACTTCAACAACATGTCCACTTAGACTTCCATGTTTTTGTTCAGAAAGAAAACTGTAGCGCAAGCTACTGTACAAACGAAAGCACACTCCGTTTATGATTTTTCCAACTCTGTTTGTAAGATAAAAAAACATTTATTAAAGAGTTAAGACACAGTCTATGCATCGTAGCTTAATTAAAATTAATTTATCATAGTTTATTATACTGAGAAAATTCGGAATATGTGAAAAGGCTTATATTTCTGGAATTTCATAAAGGTTTCAGTGATCACTACTGTCAATCAATAAACAGAATAAAAATGCAGCATATTTAAAGAACGAAATATTTCTCACCTAACGATAGCTGCTTTCAAAAGGCGATCCATGTTACTTTATTTGTTTACCTTTGCATAAGTTATTATCTGCTTATGAAGATTGTCTATTGATCGTTCTGATACATGTTTAACCATTTATTTTAAAATGATATAACTACTTCTCCAAATAGATTATATATGTAAGTTCAATAGAAGTCTAATATAAGTACTAGTGACTGAAGATAAAAGTTAGTCAATAGAGTGTCAGTTTAATTATGCAACATGATATTCCAGAAAATCTCATCTAGATACAAACCGGAAAATGAAAATAGCACTTAATTTAGACGTATAGTTATCCCTGAATACACTCAACCAATCATTCTATGATTTGAATAGTACAACGGCATCAGTTTTGCATTTTAGGATTGGTGTATAAATAGATGAAATTTCCAAGTTTTTTCGACTTAACAAATCTTATGAGTTGGACCGACATTAATTGAGCATCTTTCACTGTTTTCCACTAAACCTTTGGAATGTCACTGTTGTTTAAAATATGAAGTATATAAATAAGTTGTTGAACCATCTTGCTAACACTTTAATATACCTGGCATATGATCAAAGTAGTTTTTGGGGAAAAGCTCTGCCCCAAATACAGTAACTCTTTTCTTCGGAAAATATATTTATAGGGTTGAAACTTTGGTTACTGACTAAACTGAGTGTTAAGTTTCTTAAAACTCGCTGACATTCTTTGTTTTGAATCTGCAACATCTCTCAAATAAATTTACATCCATCATCGTCCATAAGCGTTACTATGAACAAAAAGAGTAGTTCATATATTTAGTGTGATGTTTCTCGGATTTGTGGCACATACATGAATAAAACATTTTTTAACACTTTTGAATGGGATTTTAAATCATAATATAGACATTAACTTTTGTATAAAGCGTATAGGTTTATGCTGAAAGTACCTCGACGTTCTTTGAATTGCGTTTGATTTTAAAATCCATTGGTTTCTTAGCGATGTGGTCTGAGTCCAATCAAGGAACTCCTCCTTTTGAATAAAAAGAAAAATGCAGTTTATATTTTAAGATATATTTTGTATAAAACGGTTAAACGTATACGTAGAGTACTGGCGATAGTTAACTGAAACGTAAACATCAAAATGTTTTATTAGAGTATGCTTAGTTTTTCTGTAATAAAGATCTGATAACAGTAGTAATCATAGATTTCATTTATTTTCGTTGACTAAGAAAAATGGAAACTGTGTCATCAACCTAGCAGTTTCATCAAACTAATTAAAGAGACAGTACTTCAAAGGTCAATGGTTTTGATTTAAGATACTATCTTCTCAAAATTTAACTTCAAAATGTATTTATTTATAATTACTAAATATGAGAGGTAGAATATTGTAGAGATTACTCTTACTTAAAAAAAGTAGTTATATAAAGAAGAAAAATAGAATATTTTTCAGTTTTATCTGAAATATAATAATGCTAAATCAACAACAACTTCCATTTATATATAAATGTCCATTTTGCCGCTAAAACTTTAAGATAATATAAATTGAAGGTAAAAGAGATGAAAATCAGTGATGAATTTGAGACTATTTTCTAAATGAAAATCTACTAGGATATTCATAGGTTACAATTATTCGATCATATGTGTCTTCGAAACATTGCTCGTATATCCTGGTGCCATTGAGTTAGTAACTCAGTAGTTAGAAAACGGGTACTAGGTAAGGATGGCAAACCAATTGATGAAGTAGTGAAACTTCATTAATTAAGATGGCTGAGACATGTGTTGCGCATGCCCGACCACCGACTGCCCCGACGTGCGATGTTTTCTGGTGTAGGAGTAGGTTGGAAGAAAGTTAGGGGCGGCCAGACCAAAACATGGCACAAATTCATGAAGTCACTGACAAGTGAACTGAGCAATGTTAGTAGGTGTAGACTATCTGTTTGGGGTTCGCAAGACGATAACAACCGATGGTTAGAGATCTTGAATGACATGGCTCAAAATCATTTGCAATGGAGCAGGTGCATCTACTCTTTGTGTTTTCTCAAACTCTAATCTTCTGTATTCTTCATGTTTTTTTATTTTCTTTCTAAGTTTATTTCACTGGAATATACTCCTTAAATAACAACATCAAACCCTAATGTTCCCTATTACTACCTATAATTTCACTACTTCTACCACTATGGGATTTGAATCGATAACTGAATCTCTGTGCTAATGTGGTATAGCAACTCGAACTGATGTACGTACGTACGAAGTTTCACGTTGTTACTGACTGACTGAGGAAGGAATTACATTTGTTAGATGAAAGGAAATAACTATACTTTTTGATATAACAATGAGAAGACGAAATTGGTCTGAAAAATGTGATATATTTGCGCCATACATTCCAAACAATTTGATCATACATACACTTATCAAGCCATTTTGTATGGAAATTAAAAAAAGTAGGTACAAACACATCACATTTTTCAGACCAACCCCGTCTTCTCATTGTTCTATCAAAATTTATAATAGGGACTAACTACTTTTAACTCAATCTTTGCTGCAATGGCCTGAAATTTAATCATGAATCTCAAAAAACATTGAATAGCAAACAAGCTTAATCGAAGATCGAAGTCTTACGGATAATAAATATCATACCAAATGAATAAATTAGTGACCTTTTTAACTCGATAGCTTAGTAGATAACGCGTCACTGTGTTGAGACAATAGATACTATGTCTAGATTAAAGCATCAACACTGGGATGTGGACACACTCAGATAAAGAGTCCCGAATAGAACAAAATCTGTACCTTGAATTCCACTGCTAGCCAAGGTCCAAAAACACAATAAGGTTTGTAACTAAAGTCAATATGAAGGCATCCGCTCAGGGTAAACATAAACCTTTAGAGAATTATTTATTTATTTACGAAAAAAAGAACAAATAAGTTAAATCAATATTATACCTAATTTTTCGTAAAGATGATTACATGAATAAAACTAGCGAGTAACAATATGTAACAGTTTACTTTTTATAGCAGATATCTTAGAAAATAGTGTTTTACGAAGCTCAAAAAATACATCAAAACATCACTTTACGGTACTTAAACTCGTTTTTCCTCTTTATCTCTGACAGTAATTATTTGTTAGAAGAATTATGTGACATTCTTCCTTATGACAATATGATATAACCAAAATAACTTCATGTTAATATAATACTTATCATATAACATACCACACAGTTCAATCCACAGTCAATAACATAAACGACATCATCAAACGTCATGCATGTCTCTGCAATACTTGACGAAAGTATCTAGAAAAGAAACATAGAAGTTGTTTGGAGGATATTAATCCCATAAAATATCTACTAATAAAATTGTATTTTTTAAATCTACTTGCTGAAGTAAGTTAATGTTTTATGAAGAATAAAGTTTTCTTGATAGGATAGGGGTTTGTCGAGACTGACTAGTCTGTAGTTTGCCTTGTGAATTGACTTCAACTGGACAATTGCTTAAAACTGCACAACATTTTACAGATGGATCATAATAGCATAGCGCTACTCAATATTGTAAACGCACGACACTATTAAGTATCGAACTTAGGGATTTCATGTTGCATGATAAACCTTTGATCTTAAGGGTGTGTCAATTGTAAGATAATGTATTAATAAAAACAGTGCTAAAGAGTATTATAGAATCAACGAATGTAAACATTTAACATCAATCCATAAAATCTTCAGTTACAGTAATGTCAACCCGCTACCAAACAATATTTATCTACAGACTATTTTTAGAACATCAGATTTATCATCAGCACCATGGTAACATACTCTTATAAAAAGTGACCTAGTGAATCTACACTGATAAATTAAAATAATTGACAATATATTAAGACGAAGATGAATACAGAAATAGTTTTCTGCTCAATAAACTCTTACCAGGTTCTACAGTCTTACATTCATAGAATATTTATTAATTCAAATGTATAACAGTAGAAACCGTTAAGAATTCATTAAAAGAATATTCTTCATTTACATATCTGTACTTCAGTACGATAGTAGTTTTTAGACAAGAAATTAAATCGAGTAAATGCCATATGAAGAAAAGTAAAACTCAGTTACCTGAAATACGAGTACAATAAATACTGGATAATTTAATCTTTTGTTTTTATCTACCCAAAGACTGATTGATAACTATGCTATATAATATACAAGTTTGATTGCTGAATGAAACAACACACATAATACCAAATTTTTTAAAACCTGATATTTAGGTTGACAACAAATAAACCAATAACTGAAATAATCAATGCCATTTTATAAATGTAATGAAACATCCAAGTGATGGAAATCTTAATGCTGGTAACACAAGTTTTAGGTCTTTATGGAAAACTATCTATTTCGGTAAACTTGTAGCTGATGGTTTTTTGTAAATTATATTTATGATATTTTTGAAGTAGTGGTGAAAACATAACAGACAATACTGTTACATGTATTTCATTTTAATTCAATTGACTTACTAATTTACTGTGTGAACGTGAAGACTGAGCATATATAGTTTTCAAATCATCAACAAGCATTCGAGGGTGAAGAATAAATATTAGTGGCTTTCTGAAAAAATGGCAAATGAATATAATTATGGAAGGATGTGCGCATTGGAAAGGATGTCAAAAGGAGCATATCTTCAAATATGTAAACACATGTATATATCAGCTTTTAAATTAGTTGTATTTGTGATTTAAATTATTATTCACACGTTATTAAGGCAAAGAATACTATAATTTTCAAGTTATGATTCGGTTGTAATCGACATGTTGAGTGTTGTGATAAGGATTGTAATATTTGTATAGAAAACATAATAACAACTATTTGAGTTTTTCATAGTTATGAACCTTACTAAAACTTAGATAAACTTCACCAGATGCCATAGCTTTAGATGTTTGATTCATTTACTGTCATATTCAATCAAATAAGTAGCAAACAGTGAATTACTTTCAAAATAAATTCAATGTCCAAATAAACAAAAAATAACTACCTGATATTACATACGAAGTGAAAATAAAATTCAATAAATGTGGCAAATAAAAAAATGATAAATAAAACAATATTTAAGGGTAGAAATTTTCATATTACAGAGGATTTACCTTCATTAAAAGAATTTTTAAAAAATAAACATTTATTGAGAGATACTCAATACTCATACAAACTATGTAAGCCTTTGTAAATCTGCTTAAATGTACCGTTTGTTCAAAACAAGCGACATCAAAACATGCATCGAACAGCTTTCGAAATTGTACATATTATGATCTTCAAAAATCAACCACTTATTATAATACAGTCTATATGACATAGGATGAAGTTTACGTAAAAACAATAGGGCGCATTATTCACATACTCTGAGGATTCCCATGGAGAAGTGTCAGGATCCAGTAATCGTCCTCGTAGTGTTATAATCTCTTCATATGATGGTAGAAATATTAATATTACACCTGAAGAAGAAAATTATAGGCTTATTTAAACGAATAATGTGCGAAAGATGATTACTCTCATTTTTTAATGTATTTGTTCTGTAATATATTTTGGCAGTCACTGTACATTTTCCAATAAATAAATATCAGGTGAGTAGGAAAATCTTCTATAAACATTATAATTATTTTAATAAATTTTAGGCTTTAAATGTTATGGTGGAGTAAATATCATCTTTACCAATAATGTTCATTGCAACAGTAAAGGAAACTTTAAAAAAAAGACAGATTTCAGCGATGTGTTTGAAACAACATGGAAAGGTGTGAAAATAAACCATCGTATTCAAAGAACGCAACAGCATTAAAAGGATCTACTTGAGCTACGAGTGCTTTTTGCTATTTCATAATGATCATGAAGAAAAACAGTATTGAAAATATTATTGTGGAAAAATTACCGAGGATAACGCGCTTGATGCTATTATAGAAATCTTTAAAAGAGATGGTTTTTATTACAAATATTGATAAAAATATATGTCTTAAAAGACAAAGTTTCTTTGAGCATTTCTTGACTGACAGTAGCACAACATTATTGCAAGATTTAAAGCATCCTCATAAACTGATGAATAAACAAAAGCGTTAATCTTGCACAAATGTGAATCATTCAAGACTCATAAAAATTCTAAGAGTACTTAAATGAAATTTAACTAACGTTCGCATGCGTTTAAATAATAACAATGTGTTTGTTATTATGAAATAAATCAGACTGTGAATGATCACATAGTTAGAGTGACTATTAAAATATGACTATCCGAACAAGTTTTAAATTTAGAGATGTTTCATTTAAATGATGTAAAAATACTACTTCTCACCTCTTGGTAAAGAACTGTCGATTTTCACAATTAATGCCGTTAGAAGATCATAATCCACTACTGTTTCTGGCTCCATATTGTTTCTAGCTAATTGATAGGATAAAAGTAATTTATAACGGAAATTCAGTGAATTCATTATTGCTTTTGTTTCTTCAAAACTACCTAAATCAGTTGCAAATAGTTGGTGATCGTCGAAAGTACAATTATCAAATTGTGATCTGCCTATCGGACTTTGAAACCAAGATCCAAATCTTAGAAGTATAGCCTCCCAATTTTGAGGCTCGTATCGAAGGCTTGAAATAATCCTAAAAAAATATGGAATGTGAGTGAATAATGGCTTAGATTTTGTTAAGTTTCATAATGGATGAAGTCCCAAATATGAACATTCTGTAATAATCTATAATTTATGAACCCTCAAGAATAATAGAACCGAGCATTTGTGTAAAGTTATTCCACATACACTGTGAGTATTCAAAAAACATTATTTCAAAATAAAACTAGTGATACATTTAAAAAATAGTCACAACCCATTTAGGAAAACAATTACGAATCTTACATATATGTTTTCAGTAAGTTTGCAACTTCGTTATTATCGAATATACAAGCTAAATCATAAGCTGTAACTCCTATGATAGTGTAATTTTCATCTTTGATTGAAAATTTTCGATTCTTTGGACCAAAAATTTTAAAATCTTCAAATTGCTTACGAGCTAGTCCAATTAATGGTTCGAACGGTATAGCTACACGCATAAATGGATCAGCTCCATGATTCAATAGACATTTAACAGCCTCTAGAAGACCACCAGCAGAACACACCATTATTGGAGTCAATCCTTTTGAAAAATAGAAAAAGAAAGTTTGTTGATCTATTTACTTGCTGAAAATTCATTTATTGTCATGAGTATATTTTATTGAACTTTAATTATCGTAGTAGAAATATTAAAACTAAAGCAAAATTAAAACGGTATCTTTACATCTGGATGATTTAAATTATATTTTGAATAGAAGCATTATTTGAAACAATCCTATAATACTAGTATCACGAATGGACCAGTGTTAGACCATCATTGAAAACCTCGAAGCACTGGATGGCCCTTTTGTCCCACTATGAGACTCCTCAGTAGCGCACATCTGCGACCCTGCACTCACGACTCGAACCCAGGGCCCTCGGTCTCGCGTACGAACGCCTAACCTCTAGACCACTGAGCCGGCATCCAACGTTGTTGATGTCTAATTTCAACCAGTCCACGATATCTCATGACCGTCCACAATTCTCTTCAGTCAGTAACTGCTTCACAACAGACACGGTTGAACTCCGCTGGTTACGGCTCCTCACTAGAACTCCAAGAAATCCGAGGGTTCTGGGTTCGAGTCGTGATCGCAGGGTCGTGGATGTGCGCTACTGAGGAGTCTCATATTGGAACAAAAGGGCCATCCAGTGCTCTCAGGTTTTTAATGGTGGTCTAACACTGACCCATTCATGATGTTAATCTAGACTCAACAATCTTCGCAACCCTATACTGAGAATCCAGCAAGATTTTAGGACTACAGTTTTGAACACAGCCAATTGAATATCTTCATTACAGGAATGCTTTAAAATCTTATTTAAAGCAACACATGACTGTACTGCACCCAACTTGAACCGTCTGAAGAATGATCTTTTGAGTACAAATGACTGTAAAGTAATAATAGAATGTGGAAAAACCACCCTAAAGTAACTCATTAATGTCATTCTTCTTAAATTATAAAACAAATATTTTAAGTAAACTCGATTAAGTCAACAGGTTCATCAAATGATTGAATGTTGATACAAACTAGAAAGTATAAAAAATAATCGAAAATTAGGAGTATAAATAAGCCTTCATGTAAATATAGGATAAAAGAATGCATACCAGAATTCGAGTGTTCGTAATCAACAGAAATCCAGCCAGCTAAAATACACTGAAGTAAATTTGTCAGACATGAACTTTTCCCTTTGGTGACTTCCATTTCATCAATTTTCTACAAATTCAAATGCAAAAGACAATAAAACTAAAGTTTGCAAAGTGTAAAGTAAATAGTAATGTCAAACGTAAGATGTAGTTATGATAAGGCGTGCAGAGGTTAGTTTACAATGCAAACATAAAATATCAAATGACAATCGACTTTTATGATTCTATATTTTCTACAGTTTTTATCACTTTATCCTATTTCATAGAAGAAATATATGCTTTATCAAACTAATACGTTTTAATAAAAGAACAGTTAGAGGTTCAGAACTCTGAAACACTATGAAGAAATCTTGGATAAATTATTAAGATACGTCATATACTAATAATATTTGTTGACTTGAAACATTTGTCATCAGTGTCAGATATCATTTAAATTATTTATCACTCATATATAAAAATGATAATAGATCATTTTGTCATTAGTTACAATAATATTTTAGAATTCCGATTATTCAGCACAGCACTATAGACACTACTTTCAGCCGGTCTAAAAATTGTCCTTGCAATCTTAAGTAATCAAAAACCATTCGCTGAAACATAAAAATAGGAGTTTAGCTCGGTTCAACGATCTGCTCTTGATGATTTTACTTTCAGAGGTGTAGTGATCACTTCCGAATTCCCTGATACGTTCGAGTGCAGGTAGAGACAGCTCTCCCTCTCGAAATGCTGTCACATGGCCACGTGCATGCAACCACTGCCAGGGAAGTCCCACCCACTGCCTCCTCACGGCGGGAGTGTTGTTTGCGAAATTAAGAGGATGAAAATTGAATGTCCGGCGCTGTAACCGGGTTGGTGAACATGGAGGATTCACCTAGGTGAGTTGGAAAACCCTGATTCTAAACCAATGGTGCACATGTGCTCCAGTATCCTAAGGGAACAAGTAGCATATGAATCTATTGTTGGTCACCAGCTACCATGGGACTGTATCTCCTTACGTTGCTCTACTATCTTATGACGTAGACCTCAAGGTGAAAGGCTAGAGGTGTGGGCCTCCCAAGAAAATCACCTGCTTCGGTTTGGGCGCCCCCGCAGCATTCTAGCCCTTACACAACTCGAATGATTTGTGTGACGTATATATATTTATCGTCTCCTTGTGCCAATATTTATGCGTTTAAATAGATAATAAATAAATAATTGCATAAGATAGACGCAACCAGCCAAACTAAGCATTATAAATTCATAAATAAACTTTGAAGGACTATAACTTGTCATCAAAGATTTAATCAGAAAATAATGTAAAATGTTGAAGGAACTAAATCTAGAACATTAGTTGTGAAATCAAGTTGCGTAACATTGTAATATAAGAGGCTTCACAAGTTTCTTTTGTGTGCATATATTAAATTTCTCCATTGGTATTAGGCTTCAAAAATGCGGAAATGAGGGGACTATATTGTTTTTAGGAGGTTTATGTTGAACTTTTAGAGGATCAGGAATAATCATTATTTTCTTATTGAATAAATGGTCGTGACTAAGTATTCCAAGAATTAGAGCTTTTTTCTGAATTTTGTAATTAATATCTTAATACAAGTGATGTTCAGTAGGAAAAGAGTGGATCTTATAATTATTCTACCTTTTTGATAGAAATTTACAAAATATTAAATCATAGTATTGAAAATCTATCACTAGAAAATTAACCCGAGACGGGTAACTTCTCTAACCTTCATATGATGTTTATTTAATTCGTTTCTATTAAGGTCAAGAACTGTATGAAGCCAAATACTCCATAGTAAGTTATTTGCGTGTTTCTCTGCAAAATCTGTTGAATAAACCTCTGAACAGTAGTCTGTTTGATTTAATATTTGGTCATATTTCAAATATGATACAGCATGAACTTCAGAAAGCACTGGAGATTTCTGGAATATATATATGAACAAAAATGCATTTGACTAAACTCAACGCTATCCATAATTTCAATCAATTTATTATTACTGGAGACCACAATACCTAGTACCCATCATCATTATCATCATCACAATTTTGTCTTGAGATAAATAAATATGTTGCATCACTTACGTTTGTATTATGCGTTACGTTAATAATACAGTATTATAATAAATCAATCCTTGATATTCCTTCTTTACTACTAATAATCTTTTTATTCAGTACCATATATTTAGAGCATTAGAGCATTTTCAGAATGAAATGTTTCCACAAGTTACTTTCATTCTTCATTTAAAAAGATGATTGACTGCTATACATTTTTAGCTCAAAAGATTCTTGAATAATTCTGCGTTTTTAAGCAGATTAAAATGAGAATTTCTTTCACGCAATAGTCTCATAGATTCCTCAGACATGTTTTATCAAATCAATCATTTGTGGTCGGATTCCGCTGCACCCACGGAAATATACAGGAAAATAAAACTTAACAGTCTATTCATAGCAACTGAATATCGTTACGAATTAAGTAGCAATCATAAACCTTAATTTATTTCGAATCATCTCCCTACACGTATACTATTAAGTAAACTTTCCAATCAAAATGTAGAATCTTATTACTCGAAAACCCTGGACTAGGACTGTCATAAACAAATAACAACTTCAAAGTCCCAATTCTGTTCAATAAACGTATGGGATTTTTGCAAAATCGAGATTTTTGTATCAAGCAGTAAGTTAGGGTTACAAATAATTCCAAAACTATATCTAATCTCTTCGTTAATGAGTTTATAACTAATGATAAACATCAATCGTTCATGATTTTGATGAAACTCAACGATCTCCAAAACCTTATACTGATAATAACAAACTATTATCCAACAGTGGATGGGAACCTAACACGTAAGTAGCAAATATAAGCAATCTGTTCATTTTACTAATTAAAACCTTAAGTGACATTAAAGATCCAAAAAGTCATGAAAAACTAGAGTGAATAAATTTATTTTCAGTAAGTTTGGCATTATATTCAGTTACTTTCATTAAAACTTACACTTTCTCAATAAATTCATTTATCCTAACCTCTAAAAACCATAAATAGATTACTTTTTAAATCGGGAGAAAAAACCAACATACACAATTCTAGACCAGTTAATACCGCTCTATCTATCTCGCGACTCATAATTTTTCTTATTCTCACTTATAAGTGAGCTAGCAAATATCTCAAACTTTTCTATTATCTTTTTATTGTTCTTTCATGATGTACTATTTTTAGAAAATGACGCCTGTTACAATCCACTGAACATTTATTATAATATCATATTTTATGGTACATACAACAATCAGTTCTTATTTTGGCTAGTAAATGTTGAATAATAACGTTGGTTTGAGATCTTACGATGAAAACAAATACTGCTATATTCTGTATGACACAACCAGCTTATAGTTAGCTGAATACTCATTGGTCTCTGATTGGCTTCTGCTAACCGGAACTATTGGAATACTACCAATCGTTCTAGTAACTAGTTTTGGATGAAATTATAAAAGCGGGAAAGAAAGTAGTAACTACTTCTTAATTATGTAGCCAAGAGGTCAAAATCTATGTAATATAAGTGAATATTTGATCTTTGAGTCTAGGGGATGTAGGGCAAAAAATTACGCTTGACTTCAAGTGGTCACTCTTACTATAAAACCACAATAAATTTGTGATAAACATGATACCTTTTGTACGGCATCAGATACAGATGTGTTGAATGTTTTATCTTCAACCATACTGACTTTGTTTGCATCGTCAGTTGTATTATTGTGATACTCACATGAAATATATTTATCAGATTCCTTAGTTGTAAGCCAAAAATACATATTACGACATCGTACAACATCTAAATGGAAAATTTATTTTTCGAAAAGAATAGATAAACAGAACAATAAACGTCAAGAAAAAGCTTATTTTATATATCACAATACAAACAATGCAAGTTATAAAGGTATCTGACTATTTTATATAACGAGCTAATTTTCTATTTCTAATATATCACTGATTTACCATATTTAGGTTAAACCACTCCTAGACATTAGTATTTTTATAATTTATGAGAACAGACTACTTAAATTATAATTACACCTTTTCCATAGAATATTACGCGAACAATAAACCGTGTGAGAATCAAACCAGTGCATAATATGATATCATTGTGTTATGTTTCGAATGAAAAATCTATTTCAGAATTATAATCACAAAACATTCCTAAATAACTCACTTCATCATATTTACAATACTTCTGAACAGTAGTAAATATTAATTCTAAATAACACATCACATTCCATTTATTAACTCTAACCTAAACAGATATAACCAACATAAATGTAGCATACGCTATTTTCGAAAAGAATATTAAAAATAAAGATCCGAATTCCAGAATCCTAGAAAAAATGTACATATACAAACATCATTTCATTCTTGAATTATGACTGACATATACCATGTAGATTTCTTCATTTGAATTTTTGAATTACATAATTATTAATCAAATAATAGTTATTTCTAGATCTGCTGCATCAATCTTTGCTCTTGCTCTCTTTAAAAAAATAAAGAGAACTATGTGTATGAAATAGAATATTCACCATTAACAAGTAGATGATACAAATTCAATTAAACATATGAATTCGTTTCAATAGTATGACAATTTAAAAAAATTAATCTTTGGTTCAGGTTAAGTCAGTTTGTTCAATGGCAACTACAGTTGACTATTTATGACATTGGTTATCAATTGTGTCGAAACGAGATCTGTTTGAAATCTTATTACACAATTAGTTGCACCCTAACTTTTATCTTGTTGAACTTTGTAACGTTTTTGATAAGAATGTATTTATCTTACTACAGGACATGTAAACTGGACTACTTATGACTAAATGAGAATCTCTGTCCATCCGTTCTTCCGAGTTTGTATGGATAATTTAATCATTTTATTATGGATTTTTAATCAAAGATGTCAATGCCTTAGACCACAAATCCCTCGCATCTCAAATTTTATATTCATTTTATAATCTGTGGTGGTCGGTGTTCGATATATTCCTTAAACTCCGTATACATTTCGTCTCAGTAACCGTCACCAAATAATGCTCCAACGGTATGTTAATCAGAAGGCGAATACGAAGTGTTAATTACGTTTATTAAGGGACCACACACAGATATCCAAAATTACAGATGCGTTAAGCAAGCATTAAATAGTTGTGCCGAAAGGCAAACAGGCAAGCGATCGAGCGAGAGAGAGAGCAAGGGCAAGAGCGAGCGATCGAGCGAGAGAGAGAGCAAGGGCAAGAGCGAGCGAGCGATCGATCGAGCGAGTGAATGAACGAGCGAGCGAGTCATGAATATGAATAACATGGACATATATATACATAGTGAAATGAATGAATCATCGAGTCAATTAAGCGGTTAATAGTAAAGCTAGTAGCGTGAATAAATGCGTAGGCAGTAAGGCTTGCCGAGCATACATATTCATACAAGGATAACAATAATAAAGGTACATACATTCGCAACAGTAATAAGGATACAATAAGTTATTATAGTGCAGGTGACTTTGTCCGTTTAATAAGTTAATAAAAGGGCTTAACCGAATAGATGAGAGCAAACTCAATTGAACGTGAGTTGCTATAATAGCTCCTCCCAGCAAACAAAGATACAAAAGTGTCTGTGTTTGCGAAAAAAAATGTCAAATTTAAGAAGATGGGAAATATCGAAATTTACGAAATTAAGATATATGATAGAACTATCGTATATGTTATTAAAAATATGTGTAAGTTTGAGTTGGTATATGTCGTGAGGCCAAATAAGATCATAACGGAAGATCGGAAGAATACATAAAATATGTTGAATATAATAATTGATGAGCTAAAATTTTCGATTTGTACATAGAAAATGAAGATGAAATTTACATTAGAAGAGGTGAAAGAAATTATTAATTCAAAATCGTAGCTATGTATCGTTGCGGCCATCTCACTCTTCGGCCATATCTCATCGTTACTGGATTTTCTTCGTTTGTGTTGGTCGATGTCGTTGATGATTGGGACTCGCGTTTCGGTGGTTCGACAGTTTTCGCAGTACCTGTATATATTGGCTGATCGTCGGTTTCGATGAAAGCTGGTTTGACTCTGTCGATGCTAATTACATCCGTTTTTCCAGCTTTTTCTATCGTAATAGTTTTATCGTTTCTTTTAATCACCTTGAATGGACCATCGTAGGCCGGTTGTAAGGGACGCTGCACATTATCCCTTCTGATAAACACATGGGTACTATCGGTCAGTCGTTTTGGCATGTATACACGATGTTGCTGTTGCCTCGGAAGCGTTATCCTCAGATCACCCATATGTTGCTTTAGACGTTGTACATAGTTGGCTATATGCAACGGGGATGCCCAAGGACTATTAGACGGTCTTACGATACCAAGCTTCATCAATTTTTCGAACTCTCGTTTCGCAATCTTCAACCTATTTGGGTCTAGCCTCCGTGGTCTTGCGTTGGTCGGTGGACCTTTCGTTATAATATGGTGCTGTACAGTGTGTTTAAGATCTCTGTTATCGTATGATGCTCTCGTCAAATCAGTGAACTCATTTAGAAGCGCTCTATATGGCTCGCTTTTGTCTTTTGAGACTACTAAATTCATGGATACGTAATCGGTTGTCACTCCTTTTATCACTACTGAATGGTCTCCGTTCACGAGCCGGTTTCGTCGAGTATCCACTAGTAAGTCGAAATTCTTTAAGAAATCAATACCAATTATAGGTACGGATACATCCGCGATGACGAATTCCCAGCGGAATGAAGTGCTACGACCAAAATTCAAGGTTACTTTACGCTTGCCATATGTTTTTATATCGGATTTATTTGCTGCCTTAAGCGTTAGCGCTGTATTGATATTTCGCGTTTCGTTACTCACTGGAGGCACAACGCTTACTTCTGCTCCAGTGTCCACTAAGAACTGAGCACCTGTTACTCTATCCTGTACGTAAAACAAACGACTGTTTCTAGGAGCTGTTCTAGTTGTCGCGGCGTTTACCGACAATCGGTGTGATCGTTTGAATTTACACGGTGGTCGGCAGTTTCGAGCTTTGTCGCCAAAAGTTTGATGGTACCAACATATTGTAGGAGCTGAGCGTCTCCTAGAACGTGATCGACTTCTATCTCTCGACCTACTTCGCGACCATTTTCTTTGTATATCGCTCTGATTTAGTTTCGTCAGCTTGTGGCATAAAAGGTTAATCTCCTTTTGTAATGCGTCGATTCGTTCATCTACTGTGGTATTATGTCTTTGCGGACTCGTTTGTTTCATTCTCTCGTAAATCCTATCGGCTATATTAGCAATGTTGTCTATGTCAACATCGCTGTCCTCAATCGCGAGGATCTGCTGAACGTTCGGTGGGAGTCGTCGTAGCCATAACTGATAAAATATGTTTTTATCTATTTTTCTGTCTCCAATTATGCTTCTCATATAATTTTTTAGCTGCGACGGAGTCCTATCTCCAATCTGCACTTGACTGAGAAGCTGCTCGACGGCTTGTCGGTCACTTAATGAGACGGCTTTAATCACAGCCTGTTTAAGTGCGTCGTATGGCTTTTCGATGTCTGGCTTAGTTAAAAACTCTCGTACATTGTCGGCTACTTCATCCGGAAGTAGTGAGCTTGCATGGCCGAATTTATCTCGTTGTAAATGAACACGATTAGCAACAAAGTAATGTTCGAGTCTAATAAACCAGAGTTCAGGATCTGTGATCTTAAAAGGAGAAATAGTTACATTCATGGACCTCACGGACGAAATTTGTGGAAGGTCTATTGTGTCGTTATTTAAAGACATGATTATCAAGATCAAAAATTATACGTATATAATGTAAATGCCACGGAGAGAAGTAAATCGTTAAAAACAATGATAATACAAAATGGTACAATTAATTACAAGGAACGGACTTACTAAATTGCACCAAAATATCAATTGTTTGGAAAATATCGTTGTTTATTATGAATATTATCGTTATGTTCAATAATGTTTGTGTGATAATGTACGTATAATTAAAATGTTGACATAATAAATCCACAGTAATGATTATAATCCAAATGCTAGCTCGAATTGAAATAAAGTGCGTTGGATTCTCGGAGTTGGATTACGTCGTCGAAGATTGATTCTTGCTCGCACGTTGGGATCACCAATTCTGTGGTGGTCGGTGTTCGATATATTCCTTAAACTCCGTATACATTTCGTCTCAGTAACCGTCACCAAATAATGCTCCAACGGTATGTTAATCAGAAGGCGAATACGAAGTGTTAATTACGTTTATTAAGGGACCACACACAGATATCCAAAATTACAGATGCGTTAAGCAAGCATTAAATAGTTGTGCCGAAAGGCAAACAGGCAAGCGATCGAGCGAGAGAGAGAGCAAGGGCAAGAGCGAGCGATCGAGCGAGAGAGAGAGCAAGGGCAAGAGCGAGCGAGCGATCGATCGAGCGAGTGAATGAACGAGCGAGCGAGTCATGAATATGAATAACATGGACATATATATACATAGTGAAATGAATGAATCATCGAGTCAATTAAGCGGTTAATAGTAAAGCTAGTAGCGTGAATAAATGCGTAGGCAGTAAGGCTTGCCGAGCATACATATTCATACAAGGATAACAATAATAAAGGTACATACATTCGCAACAGTAATAAGGATACAATAAGTTATTATAGTGCAGGTGACTTTGTCCGTTTAATAAGTTAATAAAAGGGCTTAACCGAATAGATGAGAGCAAACTCAATTGAACGTGAGTTGCTATAATAGCTCCTCCCAGCAAACAAAGATACAAAAGTGTCTGTGTTTGCGAAAAAAAATGTCAAATTTA